CATTTTTAAACACGTCCGTCCCAACGCTCTTCCAGGGTGGTATAAAAATCAAAAAAATGCCTAGATGGATGCCGTTCTATTTAAGGACTGGTTTTACAATCATTTTGTTCCCAAGACAAAATGATATTTGAATGAACGCGGATATTCGAGAGAATGATTTTGCTTTTAGGCAACACCCAAGTGAGGAGCAACTTAAAAGTGGAGAAATTCGATTGATGTTTTTGCCTCCTAATGTAGCGTCACTGATTCAGCCAATGGATCCAGGAGTTTTAGAAAATTTAAAACGCAATTAGAGACGTTTGCTATAAGAGCAAATTTTAGATCAAGTTTATAATGGTTGTAACCTCGTTGATTGTTTAAGAGGGATTAACCTCAAGAATGTGGCATATTGGATAGCAGAAGCATTCTACTATACAAAAATCTTGGTCGACAATAATTAAGCAAGGAATGGAACCTTGCGCAGACTATGAGAATATCAACGAAAATCTACATGAGCTCGTCGTAAAAATAGCAGGGTGTGAAAATCTTACCCAAGCAGATGTTGGTGATTGGATTGATGGTGATGAAATTGGTGGAAGAATTAACTTATTCAGAACTAATAAAAACTGGTTGCAAAATGGCGATGTGACAGTTTGAAGTGATGTTAGTGAGAATGAGACAGAGATATCTGCCAAAATATCACATTCTGAGGGATGAGAAGGTCTACAAAAAATTGACTTTGTCTGGTTTCTGGGCAACCAGTACTGACAGATTCGACTAACGTACATTAGACAGTGACTAATGGGCAAAGGTCCTACGGACCGCCCAGTCAAACAAATGACGAATTGTTAGTTAGGTCTACAAAAGGCGCTGACAACTAGAAAATGCGACAGCAGCTGATGTGCTACTTATCAAACGTTGGAGGGACATTGCTGCCAAAAATAGGAACAGTGTTTATATTTTCCGTAACTTTACATAGGTATATACTCACTTAACCCACGCATTTACTTTTTTCAGTAAAGCATTATGAGTCTAAATATTTATTTCCGTTTTATCCGAAATTTCGATTATCCGAAAGCACTTGTGTCCACATTATTTCGTATAATATGGGTTCTACTGAATCTCATCCCAAGATACTTGTACCTCGTACCGATTTCTTCTAGGTTCTTTACCGCTCCCCATTAGATCCCCAGCGCCCAAAAGGGAACGTTATCCCAACTTGGAGAAACACTGTTATAGAGATACTTCTTTCTTGACCAATCACAATGCCAGTAGCCAGATGAACTTGTTACCTAGACATGGTAACGTTTCACTACTTCTCCTCCAATCCACAGAGTGTCCCAACGAAAATGGAAAGTATTTTTTTGAGAAAACCGAAAAAGACATCAAAAATCTGTTTTCATGGCAACTTGATATGTTACCAGTGCATATTTTAATATATACAGGGTGTTCCATAACTTGGAGCCATAGCAAACATCCATTTTTTTAAATAGAATTCTCTATATTTTATTGCATATTTGAATAAAGCTTCTAAAAACCAGAAGTTTGATATTATATAACATATGGTTTCGTTTGTAAATTGTTTAGATATATAGTGAAATGTCTGAAAAATTGTTGATCCGTAATATTGTTCAAAACGAATTAGTACTAAAGAAACTGACCAACGTATGGACAACACCCGTTACCTTAGATGAACGAACGCCTATCTCATAGTCTACGTCTACAAGACTCAACAGATGATATGAAATTTAAGTAGCGCATGAGATTTCCTACAATAAACGAAGTTATCTTAAATAGTTACGTGAATGTTCAACTTTGTCCAACTTTATAACTTTTACCTTTGGGGGAACCTCGTTCAAAACATTTATGTGTGTAATTATGTCTTTCACCAAAAATCTTTAGACACCAACACCAGACACTGACCTGTGTATATTTAGTGAAATATACTTTCACTTTTACAGCATATTTTGGAGCGTTATGTAACTGGTATAATTGAATAGCTGGCTTCTTGCACAGTTTTCGAAACATTTTGTTTGAAACTTAAACGTTAATTGTATCAACCCTAATAGTCAATTCATTGTAGTGTATTTCCTCCATAGAAGGTGTTTTGAAACTGGTTCCATATGCATTATGCTTCTGTACTTTCACGAAGAGAGATCCATGCTTTTTCTATGTATAAATCTTATGGAGAGAGTTATATTTCCAGGACATTAGGTAAAAGTTAAACAAAAGTGAAGGTAGGACCTCTGAAATGCTTTCTGTATCTTCGAACAGACCAGTTTTGGAAAATGCGCTGAGAAAAACTAGGATATATGCACATAACTAGAAAGATCAGGTGGTTATCACCCTTATCACTCTCATTTATTTATTAAAAAAAATCATGAATTCACCTTCTAGCAAATTTTGATGTCACAATAATAAACGTGTCGTTCCAATGATACAATCTCACAATTCGCAATCGGTGTACAGAAATAGAACAATTCTCCTGACGAGGATTAAGATTATTCAATTACCAGCTAATTTTCTTCTTGTGTGATATTCTTTACGTGACTTCAATCACAACGGCACGAATAACATAAATGTTTTTTGTAACACCTGGCAGATAGGAAATATCAAAACTAGACACAATTAAGGGTACAGTAAATTATCAACTATAAGGCTTGTTAGACATTTTTAGCTCTTGGTTGCTTCAAAAGAAAGGCTGTTGCATGTAAGAATTGCGTGGAAAAAATTCAAAAGTCATCCAAGTTGTCAAAAACCTGAACTGTAGAGGTTCTCTGATTGACTTAGTTTACGCAACACAAAAATACTCAGGTTTCGATAAAAATAGCCCATCTTTATTAAACACACATCTTCTAGATATATATGTATTTATAGTTTCCTGCAGAGTACAAATACATATAGACAACATGCGTTTTTCCTTTATATTTCTGCCAAATGTCAGTAGCTCTGACGTTGGCATATAATCTAAATAAAATATACATACGCTAACCAATAAAAATTCAAGCTTTACCAGAAATATCACAAAGCAATTATTTCCTTCTTACAAAAATCTCATGAACACTTCAAGAGCAGTTCGTTTTTCTGAGCATCAAACAGAATCCTTCCCCAAGAAAAATAAAAAATTAATTATATAAATACATAGGTATCAATAAACTGGAAAAGTATTCCCGTTGTGCAAAATTTTTATTAGAGAATGTTTCGGTCATACCTCAATTATGATGATTTGTCACAGGGAACACTCTATAAGGAAAATTTAGAAAACGATATGATGTGCTTGGCGACGAAGCTTTAACAAAATGATGGCGTCAAGTAGGTTGACTCTGGGCTTCCCACAGAAGGCTGTCATTAGTTCAGAAAGTATTATGCTCGGTTCTAAGTCAGCCCTTTTGACCAAAAGGTTAGCTAGGACCATGGATAACAAAAAGTTAAATAGATCAATTCAGTCAAAAAGGCCAATTGAAATTTGCATATTTAGCATACTTTTGTATACAATTTTGAAACTTTTGAGAATTTCAATACTTCCTCACCAGTAGCATGATGAAGTAAAAGTTGATATACACGACATTTTGTGGAGTGGGTTCGCAAGTGTCATCAAGTATTTGATCATATTTGATTTAAAAAAAAATGTTGGAGAGTTCATATATGAACCTATTGAGAAATGCTCAAACACCTGCTTACATGATGTTCATAATGTAGGCAAACCGGCTGTTTTAAATTCGACCCTCACCACTGGAATCTCGGAAACGGTCAGAGATACGTACATAGCTTAAATGAGAGCAAAGTTACGTATTTAGGTAACTAACAAGATGCCGCTTAGAGAGTTTTTAAATTCCAAGTAGGTACAAACTTTCGGAGAAACACGGAAAAACACGAATTTTCCCAAAATCGTTTCAATTTTCTCCTGACTTTATTTGTAGTCAAATTACAAAATAAATTGCACATTATCATTGCCGCTTTTTCTCCTCTACAAGATGGTATAATTAGAATGTCAATATGACGTTTCGTCTTTTGCCTCCAGCATCAACTTTATTTTTTCTAATGGACGCCATATTGGATTTTTGGATTAGCAAATAGTTTTTCATTCTAATATTGGACATTGCCAAAACGTAGTTTTTCAAAAATAAATTATATTTAAAAATTATCTTTCGTATACCGCATTTATATGCGTTGTTTATTTCCTGGTTTTATTTGCGATGGGCTGCCACGATAAACTTCACATATTTAATTAACGTAATATATTCTTAGTAGTATCTAAATGTACAAAATTCGAATATATGAAAAAGCAAAGTCGAAAGAAGAAACCTCGAATTGAAAATTTCAACACGTCATCTTGTAGAGGAGAAAAAATGTCAACATTCAAATTATATCGAAATCACATCTCATATGAAGTCATGAAAAAATAATTCTGTGGTAAATCTGGTAAACAAAACAAATGACTGTCTGATAATTTCAAGACCTAACTAATAACTAAGGTTTGGCAATGTGAATGAGTCACAAGTTATACATTTTTGGAATCGGAATTAAAAACTCTATTAATCTGTGCAAAAATCCAATATAACATCCATAAGAAAAAATAAAGTTGATGCTGGAGGACAATAGACGAAACATCATGTTGAAATTCTGATTAAGCCATTTTGAGAAGAAACATAGGGCAATGTTAATGCGCAATTTATGTTTATATCCATTACAAATAAAGTGGGGAACACGATTTTGGGAATATTAGTTTTGTTTTTTTTTTCGTCTCTCTCCGGAAGTAGGTACTTTGACTTTTCACACTTTCTAAGCGGCATTTTGTAAGTTACCTAAATACGCAATTTTGCGCCCATTTAAGAGACTTCGTATCTCTTACCGTTTCCGAGATCTCAATGATGAGTTTCGAATTAGAAATAACCAGTGTATACCTGATTAATGTGAACATGGATTAAGTTACAGAGGTGGTAGAAAGTATGAAATAAAAGAGTTGTGGAGGGCAAAAATCAAAGTATAATATAAAAAGGTAGGAAGTTATGGACACATACATTTTAACATACCATGCCTGCTTGGCTTGTCCGTGCGTCCCAGGCAGGCCTGCCCTACTAACACTGTTCTTGTTATTATGGTAGTTAGTCATGAACGTCATATTCCAAACAGCAGAACTGGCCGAAATCCAAAACGTGAACCCCGTTGTACGCTGCTTGAACCTAACAACGATTCTGTTCACGCGACGTAACCCTTGAGCCTTGTCTTCACATAAAGAGCCACCAAGAAAAGTTCAGTAGGCAGGGTAAGAAATGCAGGACGCGGGAAACGACTGCCTGTCAGCGATGAGCAAAACCTGACTTTGTCCAGACGGCACCCCGCTGATTGAGCCTCTTCTGGTGTCTACCAGTCAATAGGCAGGGTGACAAATGCCGGGCGCAGAAAACACCTGGCTGTCAGCGATAAGCGGGTCGCAGTAAGCTGTAAATGCCTTCTGTCCACTGAAAGAATCTCAGCAAGTATCACAGAAAACGGCTAATAAGCGATGAGAGTAATTCTGAGTAGGAGGCCCGCCGTTGAGCCTCCTGTCTCTCCACAGAAAACGTCACCGCTTGAGCCTGCTCTCTATCGAGAGAGGATAGGATGACAACTGCCGATCGCGGTCGCGGATATGTGCTCTCTAGCAAGCCGCGCGGAAAACAACTGAATGGCGGGTCGCGATATCGCGGTAGCCGTGGACGCAGACCGGCTTGGCAGGCGCCGTCCGGCGATGTTCAGCTGTTTCCACGGCCTGCTGCTGGTTTTCCTGCTGCTGCGTGATCCGTAGGATGGCAGGGAGGTTCTTGCAAGTCGGAGACTGGCAGGCCTGTCTTTGCGGAAAAAAGGTAGACTGAAAGCTGTCCATGCACTTTTAGATTGAGGAAAGCATTCCGTGCAAAGAACATGGATTGGCCTATCATATTCTCTTGAAAAACAGCGTCCTGGGTTAAAAAGGTGGGATAAATTTCGTAAAATTAGTGGTCGCCAACACTGATAGGAGCCGGTATCAGAAATCAAATCCAAGCGAATAACCAAAATTTCTGAGTTATGTGCCGCGGTTATAATATGGTTCAAGATGCCACACGGGTTGATGACGTCAGTTACACGAATCGCTTGAACGCGTTGGTTTTAACCGCGGTTTTGTTGCAAGTTGTTTATTTTAGAAAAGCGCGTATATAATCTCTGATTATTTTTATTATCACTTAATAATCGGTGCCTTTTCGTCTACAACTGGGTATGGAAAGTTTAAAAAAGAAACCTTTCATAATATTCATGGGAGAAATGTTTTTTCAGATTATTTTTTTAATGATGGAGCCATGGCTTTGTAGCTATGATAACTTTCAGTTCTCTAAAATTTTCCGCATGTCAAAGAAAATATTTATTGATTCACCAGAAATGATGAAAAAAGATATTAGCAAAACCGTATACAGGTGGACATCATCTAGTGAGTTTATATGGCGATATTTTAATATTCTTGTGGTATATGGCTACACAGGATACTTTGTTAAGCATAGGAACTACATTTAAAGTGTCCCCATCAACAACAGTAATGAGTATAACTAAAAAGGTGCTCCACTTTATGGTAAAACTGAAGTCAGCCTGTACCATGTTTCCCAAAAATGAAGCTGAAATACTCGTACAATAACAATATCCAATATCCGGCAAAATTGTCACATTTCAAATAATAACCAGAAATATAAAACTACTCCTGAGTTGGGTAAATACTACAATTTTGCGGTGATAACTATGACATATAACAGCTGATTCATGACGTCACGGATCGTATAACCAAACTGATAACCACACTCGCTTGAACGGATCGGTAAATACCAACCCAAAATGGTAAATACCATTTTCATTTGGTTATCCGCTTGAATTTGATTAGAATGTTGCGAATTCGATGTCAGTTTGGTGCTCGGACCCAAGAAGAACCCCAAGAGGCCAATTTTTCCATTCCAAATTCCAATTTATGACTCTTTGATGGCCACATTTTAATTTGGCGTCCCAAACTACCTGGATACACGTTGGAAAAAAGCTCGTCTCCTAAGTAAACTGGACATACAGATACCAAGTCTGACGTACCTAAATTTAGCGTTAGCATCCACGAGAGATCTCAAGCAACCCGTTTTCCAGTTGAACGACAAATCGTAATTTTTTGACGACAATTTGTTGCCGAGTAAGCCGGGCACCTAGATTTCGAATTCGACGTCAATTCAAGGACGTGGGAGGAGGTCGTCGAAGGATTCATGTTCTTCATCTTCAGGGGAATGTTCGTCTTGAGGAGGGGGGTATAGTTGATTGAAAGTTGAAGAACGTGTAGGTGGAAGAATATTAATGGATAATCTCGATTCGCCCTACCTAATCCACGATTTTTTGGAACTTGAAGTGGTAAGATCTGGAAACAAGCACAATTTCAGTGAACTGCATGAACATATTTATGAAGTGTATGGCCACCTTCATAAAATTCAGGATGATGCGGTTTTATTTAATTAGTTTCTTGAACCCTGTCTTGGATAGTCGGTCGCATGCGAAGATCTGTCTGCTCGTATTCTTTTCTAAAATACGAATAAATCCAGTTGCAGAAAGGTCTTGAATATATAAGACTGAAGGATAAAATTCCAAAAGTCTTATATTCCATTATTCATATAGATTTGTTGGGGACATGCATGTTTCGACTATCGCCTAAGCCTCATCAGTACATCTCAGAAACAGTGAACTATTCGTGCGTGGTTCGTTTAGAGGAGTCGCGCTCCTCCCCTAGGCACCCAAGTTTACAATTTTTTTAAAGAAAATGGTATACGAGGGGGTACTGAAACTTTATCACAAATTAACCTCCTTCAAAATACTGTCCACTACAACTAATACCCTTGCCCCCACCGGTGCTTCCACTGCTCGAAACATTTTTTGAAGCCTTCCTTAGAAATGTCTGACAGCTCCTCCCTCGTTTTTTTGTTGACCTCTTCAATGTCGTCAAAGCGGCGTCCTTTCATGCCTCTTTTCATCCGTGGAATGCCATTTTTAGCCCGGACACTGTCGAGCACATATGGCTGTGTGCGCATTATCGTGGTGGAAGAACAAGTCTCCTGACTGCCACAAATCGGGTCTTTTTTGCCGAACACAGTTTCGCAATCGCCTTAATACCTCCAAATAGAACACGCTCTCGAATTTTTTCAACTTTTTCGTCGATTCGGGCAGTTTATGAACGTCCAGAGCGAGGTTTGTCATAAATCGACATTTCGCCATTTTTAAATTGAGCAAACCAATCGAACACCTGAGTTTTTTCCATAGCATCATCTTTGTAAGCTATTTTCAACATTAAAACAGTGCAGCTTTGCAGATGGCTAACTGACTTCCCCTCCATGCGCAACATATCCGCATACAATACCAACACGGGTGTTCCCCAGGGATGGTCGTGCACCCAACATTGTTTCTGTTATATATCAACAATATCCTCTGCTGAACGATCAATCCCATACACAGCTTTTCCAAAGACAGCACTCTGCATGCAGGAATTCAAAGTGCTAAGTCGATATTTGCTCAATCGTAGCTCCTACCGTTAAAAAGCTAGGTTATTTGTTTCGGGCTGAGAGTAAGACCTAGCCTCGAGCTCTGCTCCCATGTTTCTGCCACCTTGAGTGCAATGTCCATACTCGATGCTGGCAGGCTTCTGTCTCCTATCACAACGTTGTCGAATTTCATATGTCGAGAAAAAAATAGAGATCCAACCGATTTTATGCGGCGAATTGTTATCATGGATAAGAGATGCATCCACGACTAAGCGCCAGCAACAAACAGAAATCGAAGTGGTGGTGGAATCCTCTCTTTCAGCGCCAAAGTAGAGAAGTCGATTAAATCTGCCGAAAATTTCATGGCCAGTGTGTTTTGGGATTATGTTTATTGATTACCTTGAAACGCGTAGAATAATTACGGACGAGTACTGTACCAATCTTCTCGGCAAACTGGATGTCAAAATCTGAAAGGCCTGACTTGAAGAAGACAAATATCATTTTCATCTGGACGACGCATCTGCTTACAAACGTTTGTTAACGATGGGAAACTGCAGGTTTTAGGGTAAAAATTTCTCCGACCATCCCACCTATTCTCTTGATTAGGTGCCCTCATACATTCATTTGTTCCCTGATTTGAATAAACTTCTTTCTTGAAAGTACTTTCAGTCCGATGTGCAAACAACTGACCAACCGTGTTGAAAATGAAGTAATTTTTTAACTGAAAGTCACAGCCTTTCATTGTCACGCTGAAAACGTTTCACCTTACCCTCGTATTAGTGCTACTTCTCCCCTGGCAATCTGACGACTTAAGGGTTTCCGTGAATACCATGATTTGAGGCTCCCACTGGTTACTACGTTATCAACATTTTTTTGAACTACACAGTTTCGTCCAAAAGGCAGTTAAGAAATACCGATCTTCGGTATCGTACTCTAGGAACCTGTACAGGAGGCATCCTGTACAGGGTGTCCGCAAAGTTGGGGATTTTTCTTACACGGCGTATAGATCTCGAAGAAATAAGTGGTCTAAAAAAAATAATCAAGATATTATGCTCCGCAAAATCAGTCAGTAAGAAAATCGAACTTGTACCATGATTTCAATTTATGGTGAGTGTCTTCAAATGCTCCCGAGGCTTCGCGAGTGTATGCAGATGGCTTTTCCAGACGTTATCATCCAGGGCCACGTAAATTTGTTTACCTGGTGCAGAGAGCTAGGTACACAGAACGTTTCGCAGGAAGTCCTAGACAGCCCCGAATCTTGTAGAAGAAAATCCTTCAACAAGCACTCCGGAAGTGGCTAGACAAGTCTCCAAGACTAAAGAGTGGCAAACGCTGCGTGATGATGGTTGGTAATCTTTTGTAAAAACCCTTCAAGCTGAGGATTTTCCTGCAAGGTTGCGTTTTTGTGAGTGGGTGTTACAGTCCGTATCAGTCGCGTACGAATCACCCTTCACGCGTATCAGGGCGAATAGCTTACGAAATACTCATTGGTCATTACAAAATCCTCAGGTAGTCCGAAGGTCAATCTTTTCTTTTAATATTTTAGCTGGCATGGTAAAATTGGACCTTTTATTTTCCCGAATTGGTTGGAAGATTTGCACTACCTAGACTTCTACGACACACTGACCAACTTTATAAGTGACAGAACCGTACTTGAAAAATCTATGCAAATGAAAGGTGAGTGTACCTGCATTTTCATCATTTTTTTTTACTTTTTCGCTACTAACTTCACCTTAACTTTGTTATTTGAAACGTAGTTGTTTCTGAGAAGGAAAGTTCGAACTTTCAGGACACCCTCTATAATGAGCTACCTAAAAGAATCATAAATAGCCTGAAGGATACATTTCATATTAAGCACGGGGTCGGAAAGATATTTACCAAACACACCATTATGTAATCACAGCAAAAATATGTGATAATGATATTAGTACGTTTTATATAGATGTTATTTTCTGCCGAATTGTAAAGTTGATTAGATAAGGACGTTAATGACTAAATTATGTTTTGCTTATGTCTACAAGAATCGGTGCCTGGGAATTTTGTTAATGCTTTTCTCTCATATGCCATTTTCGCATATTACCGCACGATGGTAAATAAAAGATATATGAATTAGAGCGCAACCTCAGAATCACTTAGTCAATTATTTTTGCACTGGAAAGAACTCAAAAAAGATGTTTGGCAATACATCATGAGCGGCGCAGTAAGTAGTTTCGCCCAAATTGCACGTATCTTTTTCTTGAATCCAATTTACCTTTTCCTATATCATATTTGTAAAATTGGCAAGCATTCATGTTCGCA